ATGAAATCATAGAATCATGGGATCATGAAATCATGGAATCATGGAATCAATCATTCAGTCACTGAATTGTTGAACCATAGAATCATTGATTCGTGGAATCATTGAATCATGGAATCATTGAGTCGTTGAATTGTTTTATCATTGAATCATTGAATCATGGGATCATTGAATCATTGAAGCATGACATCGTTGAATCATGGAGTCATGGAATCACAGAATCATTGAATCATGGAGTCATGGAATCACGGAATCATGGAATCATGGAGTCATGGAGTCATGGAATTGGATCATGGAATCACAGAATCATTGAATCATGGAGTCACTGTGTCAGAGAAATCGTAGAATCATTGAAGCATAGAATCACTGGATCATAAAATCATTGGGTCACATAAACACTGAATTGTACAATCATGGAATCATGGAATTATGGAATTGTACGATCGTAGAAAAGTACAATCACTGAATCATAGAATCATCCTTGAGTCCTAGAATCCTTGAATCGTGGAATCATCAAACTGGAGAATCACAGAGTCATAGAATCATAGAAACACTGATGTGTACCATCCTAATATTGCAGAATTGCAGAATAACATGGAAGTGTGGAATCATAGAAACATGGAATCGTAGAATCACAGAACTGTGGAACCACGGCACCACAGGATGAAATGCACGGGTTGGAAGGGACCTTTGAGATTTCCTTGGGGATGAGCAGCGTGGGCAGAGCAGAGCTGGGAGGAAGGACAGAGGGACGGAACCCCACGCACGGCACAGAGGGACGGACGGCCACCAAAGCTGCTTTTCTATTCAGCATCCCCGGCTTGGCGCCCCGCGTCCCATCAGCGCTGTGTGCTCAGCTAATGCATTTCAGTTCAAAAGCTGGCAATTTTCACTCGCTGGTAATGACTTGGGAAATGTAGCACCCAGCAGCCGGCCGGAGAGGGGCTGCCCTGCACGTGAGGTTGAACGGCTCCGTGCCATCATCCAGCCCCTGAGCCCCTGCTCCCCTTGTGCAGGCGCTGAGAAGGGCAGATGAAAGGCCGGACCCTGAGCCTCCCGCCTCTTCTTCTTCTTTTTATTTTTTTAATGTTTCCAGTTTTGTTTTTCAAGAGTACGGAAAATAAAAGGGGAGGAGGGGGGGGGAGGGAGTGTCTTTGGGGGTTGGGGGGGAAAGAAATCCCAACAACAAAACAACAACAACAAAAAGCCCCCAGCTCTTTGTAAACATCCCCCCTGAGCAAAGGGAAGGGGGTGAAAAGCATTTCCTGATAACTCCATTAAAGAATGAGGCTGCATTAACATTCCAAGTACCTCGACAAGAGATGAAAGTGGGGAACTTGAGCTCAGCCTCTCCTTGCTCCAGATGTTATTATGGGCTCCCTGAAAGGTTTTTTTATTTCTTTTTTGCAAAGAGACAAAGATGTTGCCTACTTCAAACGGGGCTAATTGATGCTAATGACTATCAGATAGAGTGGGGGCCCTTGTTCCCCCCTGCAAAGGGAAAAGAGAGAGCGCATTTTACAATCCCCTCATAGAAAAACGCCTCGGCTCGCTGCTTTGGGGATTTGTGTCCCTCTTTGGCCGCTGTTTTCTCTCCCTCCTCGGCTCCCCCCTTTTCGGTTCCCCTTCTGCCCGGCACCCCGCCGCTCTCACTTGTTTGCCCATGAGAAATTTCACACCTCTCCTCCACCACCCGGCTCCTCTGCCATCCCTCTCCAGCCTTCCCGGCAGGCAAAAGATGGGGAGGAAATATCCCCAAACCCACAGCAAGCACACGTGAAAACGTGATCGGGGTTTGGCCCGCATTTGTAATCCGGGCTGGAGTTGGTTCCCAAGTGGGAAAATATCATCTCAGCACTGAGCATCCCGCCTGCGGGGTCCTATGGGGGAGGAGGTGTTGGCGTGATGTGTTGGAGCTGCAGGACGTGCTTCGTGGGCACGGTGGGGATGGGATGTTGGCTGGGCTCGCTGACCTTCTTTTCCAACCTTAACTCTTCTGTGAGTGGTTGCTTGGATGGTTGGACTCGATGCTCTGAGAGGTTTTTTTATCCAACGTTTACGATTCTACAATTAGGATAACTTGCCCAGCACCGCCACCCTAAGGAGCCTGAGCTCATGACCTCGTGCTTCGGGCTCTTGAAATCCAACAAAACTGGCTTAGAAATAAGAGTACTGACAGTCAGATCTACACGTGTCAGATTTTTTGCACTCTTTTTCCTCTGCTCACCCAGGTGGGGATGGATGCCTGCAGAAAGGCAATGGGGGATTTCCCTACATCTCCTGGTTTGCCCCTTCCCATGCCAGGTCTCACCAAATCCCACTGGAGGAAGGGAAAAGGGCCTTCATCTTCACCACGAGAAGAGGAACGTGAGGCTCTCTGTCCACTGATACATAGAATCACAAAATGGCTTAGGTTGGAAGGGAACCGAAGATCCTCTAATTCCAATCCCCCTCCCATGGACAAGGTTTGCCAATATGTCGGTTCACTCATCAGAAAGTCTAGAAAAGTGATTACTGAAGCCTGCTATTATTTCTGCCTGTGCTTTCTGTTCTGGGAGCACGCAGCTGTGCTGGGACATTGGAGTGGCCACCATCTGCTTCACCTTCTGCATCCTCAGCACCTTGCAAGGTCTCATTAACAGACCCAAATTAGGGGGAGGACAGGAGCCGTGGCATCTGGGAGCCCAGTTTGCAGGCAGCAGGGACACGACCAGCCCAGTATATGGTGGCTGCTGGCTGTGAGAGATGCTGCTTCTGCCCAGTTCCAGCCATTGGCTGCTGAACTGGTGAAAGCCCCGTGCAAGCAGCAGTGTGGGGAGGAAGGGATGGAGAGGAGGGGACGTGGGGACATGTTTTCTCCAAGAAAAAGGCGACACACTGCAGCCCTTAGAGCAGACAGCCCTGCTCCCCTCCCTCCCCCCAGCCCTCTCCCTTCCCACCGCCTTCCTCCAGCCCTCGGGATGCTGATCCGAATGCAGGCACGCCGCCGAAACCCACCCTGCAAGATGCAAAAACGCTTTCTGCAAGGGGAGAGAAGGCAGAAGGGCAGCATCCTTCTGCCCCCGGCCTCAGACAGCCAATACACAACCCAGCCCTCCTTCAGACGTTGGCCTCGGCTGCATTGTCAGGTTAATTTGGGGTAATGGCCTGCAAAGCACCCCAGCCCCATCCAGGTCTCATTAGCACTTGATAATGTCAAGCATCCTGAGGAATTGCTTCTCCCCCCGCCGTCCCCGGGGCAAGGAGCCGGGGTGTCCCCGTGTGCTGGGGACATCGCTGCGTGTCAGGATCCGATTCCCCAACTTTTAGCCCCTAATTCCGGGCTCCTTGGAGAATCCTTAGCCCCAAATCCATGGCTTTGAGTCCACGTCATCATCAGGCTGACACCAGGAGCCCCAAAATGCTCGCAATATGGATGCGGTTATTAAGAGCATCCCCAAACCACGCATTTCAAATTAATTGGGAATTACCGACAAACTGAGGCAGCGCCGGCACAGCCCTGAGTGCTGCTCCCTTCAATTATCTTTCCTCCCCGACATTGTTCTCTCCTAATGAGGAGGCTAATGACCAAAGGATGGTTCATAAGTGGTTCCCAGACTCTCCTTGCCCAGGGCAAACACCGTCCACAATAGGATCACAAATTGTAGGGAGAAGCCCCGGCTGATCACATCAGAAACGGTGCAGGGATTTATCTCTCGGCCTTAACAATAACAGTATGTTCTTAATCGCCACTCCAAAGGGACAGCTAGCAGGGGATCTGCCCGGCCTCATCATTAAAAGCTGGCAGCATCTTTGCTAGCGCTGCCCCTTTGTTCATCTTTCATTATCCCAATGCTTCGGCCCCGTTAATTCCCCTCCATCTTATTAAATCAATAAAGAGGGACGGGGAGGGGGGAAAGGATGGGGCAGAGCGGAGGCCTGGTCCTGCCGGGCTCTCGGCAGGGATGAGAAGAGTTGGGCTGATAGGGCCAGGCTGCGTTTCCCTATGTCTGGAACGGGGAAACTGAGGCACGAAAGCACGGCAGCCCCGAGATGCTGCTGCCGCCTGGGGTGCTTTAGCTGCCCGCCGACCCGGCGCCTCCTACAAGATCCCCTCCTGCCGTTCATCCCAACCCATCGGGACTGGATGGTGCTGACGCAATCAAGATTTGAAATAAAATCAGCTGCGTTGTCCACTGGGAACCCTTTTGCAAAAGCTCGGGATGTTGCCGTGCACAGAGGGGACGGAGGAGAGCAGAGGGGTGAGCGCTGTGCGAGAGCCCAGCTGGCTCGTGATCGACCCGACCCGTATCCAAAAGGGACCAACGGCACAACCTTAAGAGGGAACGGTCCCGGTGCAGAGCATCACTGCGGGCTGAGTCCCCAGCCTCAGGAATGCGACTCTAAATGCAGAGATTTCGCCCTCTGCAGCCCTCGTTCTCATCGCATTCCCAGGCAGCTCACCCCGCTTTGCCCCTGTTTTCATGTACCAGCCAGGTGCTGCTTCCCAGCTGAGAGCTTCATGCTGTCAGTCGGTGCCTCCTCTCTTGGCCAGATGTGATTCGAGCAGGAGAAGCTGATCTGTGCCTGCAGGCATTCAAGGCCAGGCTGGATGTGGCTCTGGGCAGCCTGGGCTGCTGGTTGGCGATCCTGCACATAGCAGGGGGTTGGAACTGGATGAGCATTGCGGTCCTTTGCAACCCAGGCCGTTCTGTGAGTCTCTGTTCCAATGTGAGCTCAGGGGGATTCCACCCCAGAAAGCTGCAGACGAAGGGACGCGGTGCCCATTCCTCCTTTACTTCCCAGAGCAGGTGGAGCTGCTGGCAGCCCCCGGTGGCTCTGTTTGATGTTTCAATCGAGAATTAAAGGGGAGGGAGAAGGGGGGGGGGGGGGGGGGAATGCTCTCTGATCATTTAACAAGATTACATGATGAGACAGAGCTGGGAAATGTGCCTGGCTGTCCCCAGCGCTGCCGCCCCTCCGAGGCACGCCGTAATCCCATTTAGCAACCCTCCCCCCCCCCCCCAAAAAAAAAAAGGGAGACGAGGAGAGCAGGGCTGCCATCTTAGGAAAGGGGCACAGATGTGCCCAGGACAGGAGGATTTGGGGGCTGGCAGCCGTTCCAGCATCCTGCAGACTCCTACATCCCCATGCAAACACGCCGTGTCCATCCGTCGCCCTGCGCTCAGCAGGAGTAATCTTGGCAGGAAGGACACTGGGGGGGTATGGGGATTATCCACCCGATTATCTCTCCTGCTATCTCAGCTCCTCTCCCATCCCACGGATGCAGCCACCCATTTGCACCTATTCACCCCTATTGGCAGTCTGGGGCTGTGCATCCCTCCCCAGCCATCCTTCCCTACGCAGCCTGAGCTTCTCTGAACAGATCCATGCCCCCATTTGTCTCGCAAGGAGCCCCGGTTTATCCACCTGCAGGCACCAGGTGAGATTTTGCTCAGGCAGGCTCGGTGTTGCAACCCTGATAACCTTTATCCCCTTAAGAAGGCCTCTCAGTTCTCGCTGCCTTGCAATTAGCAGCCACTCCACTGAAAACCAGCTCTTCTCCATTTTGTAGAGGGGTGACAGAGCAGCTCGGTGATACAGAGCAGCTCGGTGATACACAGCACTGGGGAAGGGGTTGATGGGCTCTTTGGGTGAGGGGCTGCTTGCAGAGCACAAGGATGCAGCCAAAAAAACACTGCATTTCTGCACAGCGTTTGTGGGAAAGCCAGCAGCAAAGGCTCAGTCCAGGATGAGATGATCCCAGACCTCCCCAAGCTCTCAGAGCATCATTCTCCTTTATTTCCCATGATGGGTTTGATCCCAACTCTATAAATATGAGGAACATTTCCACCTTGCTCTGGAAACCATCAGATCTGATTCCCCCCATCATCACGGTAACAGCTGCTTTGTCCTGCAGGTCCTCACCCTGAGGACACTGAAAACATATTAATTGCTGGGGGGGAGGGAGGCATCCCCAGCACCCATCCATCCCACATCACGTGTGAGATGGGAGCTGAGCACCATGAGCTCTGAGCACCCACCTGGTTGCTGAAGTGCTGAAGTGGAGCAGAGCTTCATTCAGCTGCCATTTGAAAAAGGCAATCGAAGCCTCCCATTTTCATTACAGCTACTCCTCTCTTGGAGCTGCAGAGCATCTCCTGGCTCAGGAACCCCAACACAGAGCATCGCCAGCTCCTGGGGATTAAAGGTGGCCTGAGTAACCCCCTCAATCAGCTCAGCCCCCAGCTGAGCGATATCAAAACATCCCCATAAACCCCGTTGTCTCAGGGATGATTGCAATAAACCCAGCGGTATGCGAGATTAGTGCTTAAACCCGCTGGCACTTGGGGCTCTGTCAGACATGGGAAGACATTATTAGCACAGTTTGGGCTCTTTGAGAAGAGCCTGGCTAATCCTGGCCCTGAGAAACAGCCGAAACAAAGGGCAGCTTCCATCACATCTCCATCCATCCTCTCTCTTTTCCTTCGTCCTCTTTTCTCCCTACGTTGTCCCTTCTCCATCCATCGTCTCCCCCTCTCCTTGCACTGCCTTTTCTCCCACCCAGGAATTAAAGGACAGACAAACAGGCCGTGAGACAGAGGGACAACATTAAGACCTGGGCTTTCCTCTAAACCAAGAGTCGCATAAATAATTTATTTTCGCACTGCAAAAATAATCGAAGCCCTGTATATATTAGATACCCCCATTGCCAGCTATGATACATTCATATATAATACACAGAAAATAAAAATACAAATAAGCAGCCCTGGCAGCTCAGCAGCACTTTGCCACAGTCTGTGCAGAGGGAGGTGCAGCCCCCGAGCCCAGGGCTGAGCCTGTGTCCTCCTGGATGCCCTCAGTCCCCATTGGGCAGTCCTTGTCCTCGTCACCACGGTGGCTCTGGGAGTCAGGGCTCCTCTGTGAGGTGGCCAGGCCCATCTTGGCCAATTTGGCTTGCTGCTGTTCCAGGCTTTGTTTTCTCCACTTAATTCTTCGGTTTTGGAACCAGACTTTCACCTTTGGAAGAAATGAAGATTGGTTTGGAAACTCAAATTCTTCATGTCCAGACCCTACACTGAGCCCTAATAGCCCACAGCTTCATCATCCCCTGACCAGTAAGTGCCCCCCTGACCAGTAAGTGCCCCCCTGACCAGTAAGTGCCCCCCTGCCACGCTCTGTCCCCAGCATGGAGACAAACTGCCCCCCAGGAGCTGACTTCATACAGATAAGCTGCAACCAAGACCCAAATTCAAGCTGGCCGCAAGCCTGATGCTTCCATACAACATCAGGATAACCACCCTGTGACTCAGTTTCCCCAATCGTAACATCGTAACAGCCTCCATTCCTCTCACATAAAGCACCAGCAATCACTTGGAGATCCCCCCCACACCTCCCAGATCTCACCTGCTCCTCGGTGAGGTGCAGTGCAGAGGCAAGCAGGCACCTCTCCGTGCCCACCATGTACTGCTGCCGGGCAAACTCCTTCTCCAGCCGTGCCAGTTGGTCACTGGTGAAGATGGTGCGCACCCGTTTGGCTTTGCCAGCTTTGGTTTTGAAGATGGGGAAGCAGCACTTGGAGAGCAGGAAGCCTGGAGGTGAGGGAAAACGGTGGTCAGGGGGCAAGGGGTTGATAAGAGGGGGACAGGAGCTCTTGGAGTGGAGGAATCCCATGGAAGAGGCAGGAGGGGTCTCTCAGGATGGGGTTCTCCATTTGGAGAAGATTTCTTTGAAGGTGGGCCCTCTTGGAGAGGAATCCTTTGGAAGGGGTCACCTTGAAGAGGTGGGAAGGAGGTCCACCGTTTTAAGATGTCCCCATGGGAGAGGTGGACAACGGTCCCTCCTGCAGAGGTGAATTAATGCCCACAGTTGAAGATGTCCCTAAGGGGGGGAGAGATGGAAGGAAGTCCCTGCCCTAAACCAGCCTGTATCAATTCGAGAGTGATCCTATGAGTGGAAGGAGATCCCCATTCGGAGATGCCCACATTGGAGAGCTGGAAAAGGGTCCCATTTGGAGGTGGGGGTGGAGGGAGGGGGGGTCTCCTGGAAAGAGCTTCCCATTTGGAGGTGTCCCCGTGGGAGTGTTGGACTGGGGTCCCATCTGGAGAGGTGGATGAAAGTCCCCAAGCTGGGGATGATTTTAAGGGAAGAGTCCTGGTTACAGAATTGTAGAGAGGTCCCCATTTAGAGGTGACCCTACAGAAGAGATCCCCTTGAGAAGGGCTTTCCCAGTTGGAGTTGGGTCCCCTTGGGGGGGAGTTGGACAAAAGTACCGTGGGGAAGTAGAAGGAGATCCCCATTTGGAGATGTCCCTATGGGAGAGGCGGTCAAGAGTCCCTGCTGGAGAGGTGGAATAAAGTCCCCAGTGGAAAGGGGAGTAAGGCAGCCAGATCCCTCCTGGAAAGATGGAAAAAGTCCCCAGGTTGAGGCGTTCTTATGGGAAATGCGGACACGGGAACCCGGGGCGGGGGGAGGTGGAAGAAGGCCCCCTTTTAGAGACCTCCCCATGGGGGATGTTTTCCCTCCGGAGCTCCCCGCAGCCCCGGCCCTACCTGTGGCCCCGAGGCGAGCAGCCCAGGCGGGCGGGGGTCCGCAGCACGCAGCGCAGAGCGGCCCGGGAGGTGCCCCCCAATGCGGCAGAGGTGGCAGCGAAGGGGTCGGTGGTGGTGGAGGTGCCGGGGGGGGAGAGGAGCGTCCCAGCAGCGCTGCGATGGTGAAAGCTTGGCCGGGCCGGGCGGGGGGCGGAGGGGCCGGGGGCGGCATGGCGGGGTGGGCTCAGGGATGTGCCGCCCGCTTTTATAGGGCCGGCAATGGGAGCGGGGGGGGGGGGGGGTGGGATGGGATGGGGAGGGCGGGGACCGCCCCGACGGCACCTCCCGATGGCCGCCCTGGCTGTGCCCTCTGTGCTTTGGTGCTGGAAGGGCGCAGCCCCCAGAGCTGTGAGTTGAGCCCCGTTTTGTGGCTCTGTAATCCGGGATATCCCAGTGCGTCCAAAGCCAAGCAGTCCTCCTCCAGGTGGACATCCTTCTATGGGG